GACGTTCGTTCACGAATCCAGGTAAGGGAAGCTTATTAAATTTAATTCTTGAGTTATACTATATTGCATGATTGTTCTGTGAAGTTGTACTGTGTTGGATGCATGTTCTATGAATTTTGTTAATTATGATTTATGGTATCAGATTTTAGCATATGGTTTTGATGATGAGTTGATGTATGAGAAGTATGGATTGAACTATGATATGAGTAATTTAATTTATGAAAGTTTATATTGAAAAATGTGTTACTGTAAGTTGAATTTGAATATGAAATTCTATGATAATGAACGTTCGTTATCGAAACGGTCTTTGACCGTTCGGTATTCTCAGTAAATTCTTTGAAATAGCTGAACCCTTTCATTTGGAAAGGATTCCATTTGAGGACGAACGCCCTCTTATACATAACTTTACGTTTGAGCGTTCGGCCAAACGTAGACATCATGAGTGTTGTGTGAAAAATTGAGAAGTTTGAAAATCTACCTTTGGACATTTAGTCAAATTGTTAAGACATAAACTTTAAGTATCTCATCTTATATAAATCCCAAATTTCTATGATTTTGAATCAGCGAATAGTCTCGACCCAAAAGCGTACGTCCTAAGTGGCGCTCGGTCTTATACCGAACGCTCGTCCCAATGCGTATGTTATAAAGGAACGCTCGGTCCTATACCGAACGTTCGTTCTTCCCGTAATTACCAACGAGCTGAAATAGCGTTCGTCCGTAAACTTAAATAGCGTTCGTCCTAAATTTCAGTAAATTCTCGTACCGCGTTCGGTCATTTACTGGCAGTCGGTTATTCCAACTAAATTGTACTTAGTACATTTAGTACTCGTATTTTTATCTTCATTCAGTTGAATTGAATCTGAAATCTTGTCAAGTGAATTATTCTAAGTATAAGTTGAATTGTTCTAGAATCAGTTCATTTAACTGATTCAAATTGTAATAACGTTCGTCATGAAAGATGGGTCAGCTTTATTCCTTCGGAAAAGAAGTTCCTTCAGTCTCGCTCTTGATGTTCGTCCTCGTTATGAAGAGGATTGAACGCTCGTCTTTTTATGAAAGTGGAACTAAGAATGAAAATGTGATTAAGAGGAAAGATTATAATGTGCGAACGATATAAGAGATGAAATTATGATTGTGGATTTTGGACGAGCGTTCCAGGGAGGAACGACTCTTGAATGAAATTGAAATGATCATCGGTGTGGATGTGAGCAGAGGGAAATGCTTCTCTGGAGGAAACACTTGAAGAAGGACTCATTGCTGAAGAGAATCTTGTAGAGGTTGAAGTGAAGACCGAACAGTAGAACGTTCGGTTAGATGTTAGCTTAGTTAGGCTAGCAGGTCGTTTTAGAACGAGCGCCCTTTTGCTGTATATTGAATATTTGGACGTTCGGTATTTATTTTGTAAACCGTTCGTCCTTATTATCACTGAACGCTCGCAAGTTTATTTGTATATACTTAAGGCCGTTCGGCCACTTATGAATTTTATCACTTTAATTGTAAGACTGTTTTGTCATATTAATACATGTTAATATTTAATTATATAGTTTGCTGACTGTATAATTTTGGGATGTTACAGAAGTTATAAAAGTAACACAGTTGATAATTCGATTTTTCAATAATTGAATTCTGATATCTATATAAATATTTGAAATATATAATTATGGATAGATTTTAAATTCAAATCTACTGATTGGATGAATTTTTAATATCGGTGTAAAATTTTTATTTTTTATAGTTTGTCATATAAAATTTTTTTGTTGAATGTTTTGTATAGATATATATACATTAAAAAATTAAACCACAAACTTTGTAAAGTTTAAAATTAATTTCACATAATAAAATAACTAACTTTTTAGTGAAAATCCTTGTTAGACAAAATTCTTATAAATATCATATATGTTAGTATACAAGATCTATATGTAATCCTAGTGGTTATAAAATCAGATTTTTTTTTTCTAACCTTTTAGATTAAATTAATATTTTGAAATCATACTAATCTTTATTCAACAAAGATCGTTTTTATTGAATTATTTATCATAATTGAGCCGATTGTAATAAAAAATAATTAAATAATAGATACAATATTTTTAAATAAATATAATGTTATAATTTATAATACTAAAATTAAAATTATTATTGTATTTAATTATTAACATATAAAATAAATAAAAATTCTAATAATTATAATNATCTTTATCCAACAAAGATCGTTTTTATTGAATTATTTATCATAATTGAGCCGATTGTAATAAAAAATAATTAAATAATAGATACAATATTTTTAAATAAATATAATGTTATAATTTATAATACTAAAATTAAAATTATTATTGTATTTAATTATTAACATATAAAATAAATAAAAATTCTAATAATTATAATAATAAATAAATTACATCAATGTCTCTTAATAAGAAACTAATAAAAAAGACAAATGAATATAATATAAAATATATGAAAAAGACATAAAAATATATAAATTGATGTAAATGACTTTCATAAAATTTTTATGTTTAGGAAGAATTTTCTACGAGACTTTCACTGGTTAGATTTGAACATGGGTCAGCTCATATACCGGATGATGCGAGTAGTGCAAAAGACAACATCCGTAGGATACAGTGCTGGGTCGACATCGTTGGTGGAAAGAAAAAGGAACGAGTGTACGGTGCAGGTCAACTTGCTGCAAACTATACAACATCGAGAGGAGGTACTCTGAAGCACCAATCTTCTTCTTCCACCACTATTGTTGACGAGGCCGTTGTCCGCCTTGCGTAGGCAGTGTAGCAACATGACCCGAAAATCACTGATTAAGATCAGAGTTTAGAAACTTTAAGACCCTGGTCATGAGACTGTTACCTGAAACTTCACAAGATTCGTTCATTATGCCTGCGACCCAGCCACGACCCTCCTTGTCACCCACCGTCCCTCAGCAGCCCACATCAGTCCAACCCACACCAGTCCAGCCATCTATAAGAGGAACAGGATGATGAAGATCATTCTGATGATAACTATGTACATTATTAGTTTTATTTTGTTATTGAACATATTTGTTACAGAAAGATTTGTATATTAGAACATTTGGATGTTAGATCATTTGGATATTAGAACATTTGGATGCTAGATCATTTGGATCTTAGATCAATTGGATGTTAGAACATTATGTTATATTGTTTTTTGTTTTATGTTTTATTTATAAATACATGTTCTATGGATAATTGGATGATTAAGATGTTATATTGTTTTTTTAATCAATGATTGGATGATTGAGATGCACATTATGCATGTCTGTATGTTGTTAGAAAATGTTATGCAGGTCTGTTTGTGTTCTGAAAAAATTTATACAGGTTTGTTTGGTTTGATAACCAATCCAATTTTGCTTGATATTTGCGTGGAACTTACTGAAAGCTTTATCGAAGGCTTATACCCTTCGGTAATTACCGAAGGTTTATGCCCTTTGGTAATTAGCGAAGGCTTACCGAAAGCTTCTGTCTTTTGGTAATTACCGAGGGTCATAGACCGTTGGTAATGGTTAGCGACAACATGTTTACCGATGATTTAATAACTGTCGCTAATCCCTCGATAAATTGTCATTATCGATAGCTTTTGGATGTTACCGAAGGATTTTGGCCTTCGATAATGCCCTTTTTTTGTAGTGATTTAGGTAGTAGTATACATGGTACTAGTATGATTGTGACTCGGAAGTTTATTTAGCAAAAAGTAATGAATGTAGTACATTCTATTAACCTCTTAGTTATATTTTGAAACTAATATTAATTTAAGGACCATTTCTCTTTATGTAGACAAAACTTCATGGGCATGGTGATGTGCATTCACTTCTTTATTCAATCGGGATTCTAAAAGTATGGTATGACTAAAAGAGTACATTTATCTTTTAGGATCATCTTATGTGTCAATTTCTTATTTTCTATATTGTACATTTGAAAATCTTTTCAATACATGTTTCTAAATAATTTAAAGAATACTCTGAAATGGGTTCTATTTTTCCAAGATACAAATGGGCTTATGTTCAAGGTGAGTTATTTTGGCATTTCATATTTTGAGTTCAAATTCTGATGCACTTGGTTTGTTTATCAATATATTTTAAATATTTATTGTCTAATAATTCGAGGATACAGGCAATTCCAGCAGCATTGGGTGTCAGTGCTTTCAAACAGTACCATGTTAACTCTCTTCTAGTACCTCTTGCTTCTCAAACTTAAAAATATAGATGTTCTGATGCTCACAAGTATCGTAGCTGTAATTTGGTTATAAGATAAGTTCAATCCCCGAAATATGGAGATTCTAAATCTATTATTATAGAGGAGCAAATGAAGATTTCTAGATAATGAGAAAGGATAGGTTTTAAAGGATGTCATTTGAAAACCCAACTAGAGGGAACTGATTTTGTCAGGCTGCGGGAAATATATTGGAATAGTAAGGGTATTGTTAAGCCTTATTACATGTTTAGGTCATATAAATGCAATTATGCAATCTTTTTCTCTTCTTACCTATGGAAAGGGGGAAAACTGTTAACGTTACCTTTCACTCTTTTTAACTATAGATTTTTTGTATTTTAGAGCAGTTTAGCTCTTCCTTCTCATCAGATAAACATGTTGTATTTTTATCTGTGTGTCATAAATCAATAGTTCTGAGTAGATCATTCTTTGGTTAGTAAGACTTAATAGTACGTGGGGTGCATCTCTATTTTTTAGTTTTCATTTTCAGTTTATATGTTTTTATTACTACTAAAAAATTATTTACTTTTTTTTTTCACTTTGTTTTCTACTTTCAGGAAATTGCTAAGGAAATGGTGAAAATAACAAAATCTTGTTTCTCCATCTCCTCTGCAAAATTTTAGAAACAAGAAACAAATTGAAATTAAAATGGACTTTCTTTATTAATAACACAAGCATATAAATTGATACTGACAAAAAGAAGATATTCATTTTTGCGTACTTGTCTAATAAATATGGTGTAATGAAGTAAAGGTTGTTTGGTTCAAATATCAAAGTGGGTTCCATTTGCTTGTCTTGTATATTGTAATAAAAATTGTTGGTTTAGATATAGTTGTTTTGGATAAGTAACTTGATTTTTATTTTTCTTATGTGCGTTTCAGGAATCCCAACATTCAAAGCTGTATTGTGTTTAATGATAGCTTTTGGTATTACCCCGACAGTTACATGCAAGTATGTACAGCTAAAATTATTAATGTTCAACATTTTTAGCATGTGCAATACTCCCTTCTTCTTAGCCCAAAATCTGTTAATTATTTCGAACTCTGATATCTCATATTTTCATTTATGTTGAACTATATACCATTTGGTTGTTATTTTGTAACTAGTTATGCTCAGCATTGATGATGGAGTGAAACTGATATCAAGGTAGTTTGAATATAGAAAATAATTTCCTATATTGTATCATTTCAAATGTTTTATAGTTTCTTATAGTTTTCTTTCTACTGACTAGATACTTTAAGTTAGGAGACGGTCTTGGGTGGTTGAGTTTCTGGTTTTAAAATGCAATTTTCAAAACAAAAATGTGTTCAACAAAAAAAAGCAGCTGGAATGGTTTTTATCTTGATTAGGAATCTATTTTGCATTTATTTTCAAAAAACAGGGAAAAATATTTGTGAAATTGGTTTAGTTACTGTTGCTGCTATCTTTGATAAGATAGAATTAGGGTTCTAGTCAGCCATAAGAATCACTAAGCACTGATACTATGTAGAAAACTGAAAAGCAGGAAAAGGACAAAAGAGATTAACTGAATTATATTTTTTCTTAATGAGAGTTATAGAAATCTATTTATAAGAGTTGCTTTAGTGACAGCTGTGCACAATCTAACGATCTACTCTGTAGAAGGCTGTTAAGAACTTCTGTGTTTATAATATACTCATAAACTTCATCATCACCGTTATCATTACAACAACCATCACTGTGTTGACACCTTCATTGTTATTGCTACCATTGCTACCAGCAGTTAGGAAAACAACAAGCGATTATTTTTATGCTTTGGCAGCGATTCCTGAACCGAGATATATATAAGCGAGACAAAAAATTTAGACCTTTTTGCCTCGGTTTTTAACCAAGGCAAAAAGGTAGACGATTTCTCTTCGGTTCAAAGTCAACCAAAGCAGTATGTCTTTTTTTTCAATTTTTTTTTCGCAGGACTTTATGCCTCAGTTCCTTTTGAACCGAGGCAGTACGTCCACCTCTACTGCCTCGATTGGGACCTAAACCGAGACAGTATGGTCTTTTCTTTTTTTCGCCAGCCTTTATGTCTCGGTTGGGACCTGAAACGATGTCGTAGGTGGATTTTCTGCCTTGGTTATGGCCACAACCGAGGTATATTTCCCTGTTTTTTTTATAAACAGGTCTGTTTCTGCAACATTCTCAACTGTAGAAACAGACCTGCATATAATTTTACAGCCATGACAGTTCAGAACAATCCAGAAGCATATATTTTAAATAAAAATTATATTAAAACATAAATACATTCAATGTAATCATAAATCAACTTTTTAAAGCATAAATCAATTCAATGTAATCATAATTCATCTTTGAAATATAAATCAATCCAATGTACAAAGTTAAACTAATAATAATGTACAAAAGCATAAAACAACTTAGAAGCATAAAGTTAGAATTTACTATATCCTAATATCTACTACATACTATTATATAATTGAATTACATTTTTAGTTAGTGTTTTCCTCACGAGTTTAAGTGTCTTTTCTGGACATCGTTTCATATACATGCGCTTTGTCAAAAGCTTCTGCACCAACATCGTGGATCATGTCTTCTAAATTGTCTTCTTCCTTTCGATCTTTTATATTCATTGTGTAATCATATACATTTCCAGCTTGAATGTTTTTCAACTATCGAGAATGTCCGCGTATAAAACCTCATCACAAAAATACAATATCTAGACAAAAATAAACAATACATTAATTAGTTTCATGATTTCTAACCTTAAAGTTTATGTGTTGAGATTTGTAATTTTAGATATATAATTAAATTACTTAATTTGTCTTCTATTTAAATATTTTAAATTATTTAAAAATGCTTTACATGATATTTTATACGAGTACATATTTAAATGCTTTAAATTATTTAAAAATACTTTAAATATTTTAATACCGAGATCTTTGTTCTTATATATATTAACACATGAAAAGAATTAAAACCACCTAGTTTCGAAAACCACGTCTTGACTTTTATCCTCTTTTGATCCACATTGACTATTTCTCAGGTTTTTCAATCTTTTATAATATTCTTTAAATCTTTAATTATGCTTTAATTTTCTGAAATTTTGGATAACATTGAATTTGGTTCCAAATTAGAAAAGAAGTTTACTTTTCTCTCTCACGTCCCTAGGTTTCGAAGAAGATAAACGAAAAAAAAAAACCCTCGCGTTTGGTGAATGAAAACAGGATCTCCCCTTTCCCCTCTCAAATTTCACTTTCGGCTTTGAGTAAATAAATTTTGTTCAAGCAACAGTTCTATTTCTATGATTACATAATCAGATCGACGGATATATCTTTTTCCCAGTTCTATATCTATGATCACATAATCAGATTGACGGATATATTTTCCCTAGAGCTAGAAATGCAAAAGACAGAGCAAAAGTTATCTTTTAATCAATCCAAGGTAAATTACTGAATTAGCTCCTAAATGGTAAGTCTCGAATATGTTCTCGCTAATACAAAATCAATAGCTATACTTGTCATGTTCTCCTTCACAACCCCTTACATTTCCACCATTAACATTGAAAGTCCAAGATCCAACATGGTCAACTTTCTCTAGCTTCAATTTCAATGTCAGAAAAGAACATTAAAAGAATTAAACAACTACAATACAGTAATAGAACAACAAATAAGTCATCCAACATTGTAGATACTCATTTGTTTGGCTAAATCAATAATCACTAGATATCTTTGACATGTTTTCCTTTCATACCCGTTTAAATTTCCACTGTTATACTAAAAGTCCAAGATTCAATATACCCAGTTTTAGCTTCAATTCCAATAACAGCAAACAACATATAAAAATAAACAATTAAGATATTGTCATAGAACAGCTAATAACTTTACACTCATCAAACATTAGCGCACTGCAGACACTTATTTCAGTCAAAATGCCAAAGATGCAATTGAGCATGCATATCTACATGGGAATGAGTCAAAAAGACTAAAATTTAAATTTGAAAAAAGAATTCACATTTTTAAATGACTGTAAGGCCACACCAAACTTAGAGTATCCGAACACTAATAGGTGGGTTTCAGATACAAAATTAGAAGCATTATACAGAACATAAAATAAACTTAGTTTAGACTAAGTATCAGTTATAGGAACTGCTGAATGAAGACAATGCCCAAGAGAGGAGAAACAAATGAGGTCGTACCAGGGATACTGCATGTTTTCAAAATACTTACCTCGAAGAAGAAGAAGCTGCCGCAAAGAGAAAGATGAACGGCGTGGAGGAAGCGGCCAAGGCAAGTGGTGCAGCGGGAGCGGAGCAGTGGGGACGGTGCAGCAGGGGCGGTGCGGCGGGGCTGGTGCAACGATGGCGTCGACGAGTCAAATGGAGGCACCAACACGACACCAACGGAGGCAGAGGCACCAATGCAGGACGCACCTTGGACCACTGGTGAGAGAAAAGCTTCGCTGCGACGGAGAATGTTGCGCCAGGGAAGAAGAGCTGCAGAGGTTGCGCTTTCAAAACTTGCGAGGAAGAGGATCCCTTTCGAAAACTGCGAGGAAGAAGACTTTCGTATGGTAAAATTTTTAACCTATCTAAGACAATACAACCTCGGTTCATCATCTACCCGAGGCAGTAAAGCTCCTATATGCCTCGTTTCTTACCATTACCCGATGCCTATTCCCCCCAAAAAAGAAAAATCTGAAATGACTATAGGCCTCGGTTCCACCAGCACCCAAAGTAGTAACAACTTTCGAAACCGGTTCCGAGCCAACCGAAGCAGTAGGTTTGAAAAAAAAATAATTTTAACGTACAACAATCAAGCATGTCGGAAGATACTGATCACCCATATGCCTCGGTTCTGAATGAACCGAAACTGTAGATCATGTTCAGAATCCTGTCAGGCAAAAAGGTCCGTTTTGGAGGGAAATTTTACGGTGTTAGGCATCGATTTATATTTTAACCGAGGCAGAAACGATTTTTCAATCCGGTTCTGGGAGAACCGAGGCATATATGCCACCGCGTTAATATAGGTTTGGGTTTCTCTTGAACCGAAATCTGTTGTGCAAGTTTAAATGTTGTTTTTTTACTAGTGAAGTTTGAGTTGAAGCCCTACATTGTGTAGAAATGGGTAAGTTGAGCAACATATATGTAAGAAAGATTAACTAATCTGATTGCTTTAATGCTTTAACATATATTAGGAAGTGGATCTGTAGGTCATTTTCATTTATATGTTGCTCAACTTACTTATTTTTACATAACAAAGGGCTACGACATACTTGAACTTCAACAATCTCTCAAGTGTGAACTCCTTCAACATTGTAAACTATCTCTTGAGTGGAAGCTCTGGTTCAGATGGTGTTATTTTAGAGTATGCAGAATTCAGTACCTTAAATCACATATAGAATCTGATAATAATTAGCCTACAAAATATCTACGTATATGATATTAGGTTAAACTTTTACACCAATTTAATTACAAAATGATCCTGGTATTTTTGTATGCTGTTTTACTTAGCGTATTTGGTGGTCAACATTATTTTTTTGTTACATGCAGTGTTACTAATGTCTATAAGGTTTTGAAGGCAAGGAATGGAAGCATGCCACTTGTACTGGTAATGGTAATATATTTTTTCCATATGATGATGTTCTTCTAAGATCTGGATGCTTTATTAATGTGTTTGTTCTTGGGCAGCTTTACCCGTTTGTTGTACTTGTGGGAGGAGTTCTTATTTGGTATAAACTCAACTCAAGATGCATCAAATTTTTACCCAGTTTGTTTGAACATATGCACATTATTCCATTATTCTTTACTTCTTATAAACACTTGGGTGATTTTTGATGTAGGGATTATTTGTCACCATCAGACATCATGGGGAGATATCCACATTTAGTTGTTATTGGGACAGGACTTACTTTTGGATACCTTATGGTATGGCAGTTGTATTTAAATTTGAAAAATGGTTTGCTTTTCTTCTTGTTATTTTCAATTTTTATAGCAGCATTCAGACTTTTTTATGCCCTTTTTGAAAGATTATTATAATATATTCTTCCAAATAGACTGAATCCACTGCAAATAAATTTGCATCGAACCGGTAGGGACCTATCACATTTGGAAGATCATTATAATATATTCCAGTATATATTATAATAGAGAGAACTCGGTCTATTATCTTTCATTGTCATATAACAAGCAACAAAATCCTTCACTAGAGATGAAACTTACAGTTGGTTCGAAAAAAGCAGCTGTATATATTGTGATGACTTAACAATATATTCTTTGCTTGTAATTTACATAGTATCTTCATATCATGTTGTATCATCCTTCATTTTGCAATGTACATAAATATGGAAAATCTCTAAAGATGCGTTAGTGGTATATAATATCTACTGTCCCTCATTGCTAGGATGTGGATGGACTAATAGAAGAGGTTCAAGAAGCTAGAATAATCAAACTGTTACATAAGCCAAGCAAGGTGAATTGCTTTCTTCTTCCTCAAGGTGAATTGTGATAGTTAAACTGTGTATATATGTGTTCAATCTCTAAAAGTTTAAAAAAAAATGTCAAACACCAAATGTACTGCTTCAGATGTCAGGCTTAATATATGTTTCCACTAACATACAATTTAATGCACTATTCCATAGGGAGTTTTTCCCAATCTTAAATTAAGAGCATGTTTTCATAATGAAATGCATAGATGCAAGATTGGTTCACAGAAAATACTATTTCAATTATCATTATGGTGATGGACCCACCTTAGAGTTGAGTGAAATTTCGTGCATGGTGTGTACAGATTCAATGGTGAAGATTTGTTGAGAAGGCTTAGAGGGAAGAGTATTTTGTTTGTGGGGGACTCCTTGAGTTTGAATTAATGGCAATCATTCACTTGCATGCTTCACACGGCTGTGCCACGTGCCAAGTGCACTTAAATCAGAACTGGGGTCTATCCACCTTCACTTTCCTAGTTAGAGACCACTCTCATTAATTAACTTTTTATTCTCTATATCTATTCATAATCCTTTTCATGCTTTAAACCAATCTTTTTATGGTTGATTAGTAATATGATAATGTTACTTCCCCTTTTCTCTTGGTGTCTATTGATACTGATACTGTCCTCGTTCTACTGTTTTGTTTTATTACTCTAACCCTCTTGCATATATAGAATCAACATTCGGTACTTTTTTATAGTTTTATTTCTACCTCCAATTTAAAGGTCTAATGGAAGTGAAAAAGTGGGTGATAAGAGCCTTGTTCGAGCTATTGACATGACTGCATTTGAGCTTGATCTACTAGAAGAATATGATTCACACTTTAAGAAGCTGAGTCTAGGTGATAAATTGCTTATCAAATTCTCCATATGATTAATTGTTAGAAAGACAAGTTATTGAATTATATACAATGTAATTGTTAATTTTTTAAGTTGGATTACAAACAATGTAATTTTCTATTTCTATGTATAACCGTTTCAAGTTATTAATTATTTAGATTGTATTATAGAATTGAATTTTATACTGGTTTAAATATGAATAATAGCACATACAAAGCAAATATTCAAAAACAAAATGTCACTTTTATACCTGTTAAAGCACAACAACAATAAAAAGTCTTATTTTTCATACCTGTTATAATAACGGTATGTATAAAAGTAAGATTCTTTTATACCTATTGTGGACCTATCAAGTATAAAAATGAATCTTTTCCTGATGCTTTTTTATACCTACTCCAAGAATGACAGGTATGAATACCAACTTTTATACCTGTTATGGATAGAATCTGTGTCAAAAGGTGAACTTTTTACACTGGTTCAAGAACCAATGTGAAAAAAAAAACTTTTTATACCCCCTACTTTTATACCTACTCGGAAACAAATATAAAAACCTTTTTTAACAGGTATAAAAAACCTTTTTTGCACTAGTGCATCACCAAGCAACGAAGTTTTGAATAACTCTTGCTGCAAAAATGGATTGGGACCAAAGGCCAATTAAGTGGGGACCTAAGGCTAATGTTTTGCACAACAAGGTCAATACAACTCATGACATCAATTATTTACTGAAAAAATAATTTGTTTTAAAAAATTAATGGACATACAAGTCATGTTAAGGCAATGATGGCCATATTCATGTCCATAATCCATTAATTTCAATCAGGTTGCTTTATCATGAACAAAACATTAGACCAAAATCAAAAAATGACCTTCAAAAATAAAAAATAAACCTCCAATACTCACTAGTACAAAAATGGTTTTTTATACCTATTAAAAAAGGCTTTTTAAACCTATTTTGGAGTAGGTATAGAAAGTTTACAATTTTTTATACCTAATATTAAATTGGTGTAGAAAATTTTACTTTTTATACCTGTGTTGTGCATAATAGGTATAAAAGTCTTATATTTAGTTAGAGAAAATTTTTCTTTTTATATCTAATGGTGCTATAATAGGTGTAAAAAACAAAACTTTTTATACCTGCTGTGGCTTTGACTGGTGTAAAAAGTGATGTTTTTTTTTAAATATTTTATTTGTATGTACTACTATCCATATCAAGACCTGCATAAGATTCAATCACAGAATACAGTTTAAATAATCAATAACAAGTAAAATAATCAATATTGTTTTCATTATCACATCAAAATGTAATATTTACTTAACAAATTTCTTAATTATATTTACCTAACATAGTTTCTTATCATATTACACATAAAATAGTTCCTAAACTCAAAATGTAATATTGAAACATCCAATCATTTACAAATGGTTAAAAAAAATGTAGCCCACTGCTCCCGAACATCCTTTATGACATGTTGTTCCATTGGAGACGTGTCATCAAATATCTACACAATGAATAGTTTGAGTAAAGTTATAATATTAATGGCTTAAAATCTTAGTTATAAAATGTTCACGTTACCAATTTCCATGAGTCAACGACATTTGCAGATATAATTTTCT